TGTACTGGGAGCAAATTCTCTAGCTGCTATTTATTTAAGGACTATTTCCCATATTTTTAAATTTTATTAAATTTATTGGGGTGACATTGGTTAATAAAATTATATGTCTCAAATGTAAAACCCTATAACATATCACCTGTATACTGCATTGTGTTCACCGCCCCAAGTTAAATCTCCTTTTGTCACCATATATTTGACTCCTTTTACCTTTTCCTACCCCCTCCACCTCATTTTCCCTCTGGTTTCCACTCTACAGTTTTTAAAACACTGAGAAATGGTAAAATGAGACAGTGAAGGGACTAGATCCAAAATCCAGAAAGAAAACCTGACTTGAAATGAAACTCAGACTCCAGCACGATTCTGGCGTACCCGGCGGTCTTTTGGTTGCCACGCTCCTCGGCGAACATCCTTAATGCTCCAAGCAAGGCGTTCCCGGGAACTGGCTAGCCTGCCCCAGGCCTGGCACAGGTGCCAGGCGTGGCCTTGCAGGCGGCCCGTGGCCAGCTCCTGCTCCCTCCCACCAGCTGCTGCCTTTTGAACGGCTGGTGTCTGTGCTTGGCCAATGGTTCGAGACCCACCATCCTCTTAGACTCCCTTTCCACCCACACACATCCCACGAGCCAGGATTTCGGAGCTCACTCGTTCGAAGTTGTAGGTTTTGTGCATTTGTTTTCTTATGGGCTTCTTAATAGAAAGGAAATCTCATTTAACAGCGCCTGCACACAACCATTAGGGCTTAAAGTAGCAGAAACGATGAGCTCCTGAAATAAGATTTTACCCTCTATTAACTTTTCCCTTTTAAGTCTTTCTCTCTCTTCCTCACCAAATATTACTTGGAGCTGTGAAGGAAAGCACTGACAGTGTCTTCTTATTTATGTAGAGTTTTTCACCCACAAGTCTTCGTGGATAAAATCCCATGTGAGAAATGGGAGTGAAGGAACGAGACAGTTTGTAGTGACACGTGGCTCGAGTTAGTTCAAAGATAAGGAACTGGGCTCAGAAAGCCGACGTGTCTTAGGAAACTGAGGAAGTAGCGAGGTTATTCTTTTTCTAAGAGCTCAGAGTTGTAAGCGCCTCAACTTCAGCACAAAAGGCGTTGTGGCACATATGTGATCCAGAAGGTCAATCATATGAAATCCTATTTCCATTTTTTAAGCAATCCTTGCCACTCTGCACATTTCTGAAATTGCAACTGGCATATTTCACAGAGAATTATCATCAATGCCTTTTCAAGGTCAAACATGCCCATCCTTAGACTTCCAGCATTTGCATCCTATATATTAAATCACACTGTATACTGAAAAAGGCATTCTGCGGGCACGATAAAGAATTTTAATTGATTAGACTGTGTTTGTTAATGTCACAGTGAATTTTCTCTACAACTTGACACAAATTGAATGTTAAAATATTGGAATATACATGGAATTTAGATGAGGGTATTCTGCCTCTGTTGCCATCCCTGAAACACCAAAATGCCTGTGTGACCGGAATCTTGCTATGGAGTTTTCAAAAATATTAAAAATGCATTTCTTATTAGTGATGTTGAAGCAATTCTAAAAATATGCTGTGTGGATTTTTATACTATAGAAAATCATTATATTTTTTAACTGTCAGAGCCCCAGGATCCTGGTCACCACCATATGAACAAAATGAAGTTGACCTTGGACGTTGCAATGGCTATGAGGTGGGATCACTTGAGACACGCACAGCCAGGCCGATCGCCAGGCCACACACTTTAGCCTCTCCCCCGTCCAGTCGCTAGTCCTTCGGCTCCTTTCACGTTCCCCTCTGCACCCTTTCCCCCAACAACTCCAGGGACAGCTATATTCTCATGCAGTACATGAGTCCTGCTTTGAAAATGAAAGACATTGGAGAAATCTCCACAACTTAGGAAGCTTTACTAGTATTTTTCCCTTCCCAAAGATATTTGCACTTATATTAGGGTTCCAGAAAAAATATTGGGGGGAAGGGTGTAGGAAACCAGGGGAAGAGGTATTGATAGTAAGACACCATCCTTCAATTCCAGGCGCATGTAACAAGTGCAAATACAATAATAAACTGGTGTCTGGTGCATGGCGAGCCAGGCCTGGGGCCTCTATGCAGGATGACTCCGTCAGTTATTCGTCACTCAGCCACCCACATATTGTGGCTTCCCTTCTCCTACGATGGCCGATGGCCGAGCAGCCATGCTCCAATCTGAGACACTTATTCCCCCGCCTTCCCCACGTCCTCAGGGCATCGTCACCGTAAGTTTCCCTCCCTCTCCTAAAGTCATCAGCATTTCCCTTTCTGTTGTTGTTTTAGTATTTCGAATAAGCTGTTTTTATATCTTCTTAAAGGAAAAACAATAGAAAAGCAAATTTGCACCATAAACTCCACTCCCTGCTTCAACTACCCTTCCTGGTTAGTTCTCTGTGTTTTGTTTCAATTCCTTTCTTCCCATTTTTCATGAACATAATCCCGGTGGGTTTTTCCCCAGCCCTGCACAGAAAGTGTTCTTGTCAACAACACCAATGCGGTGAAAGGCATTGGTCGAGTCTCAGGCTTCATCGTATTTGGTCTATCTGTTAAATCTCTGTCTTCTCTAATCACTTTTGTCACCTCACTCAGAGGTGTCACCTCCTCTGTGGTTCTCCTCTCTCACCACCTGTCCTTGCTGGATTCTTCTACTGTTCCTTTCAAGTCAGCAGTCAGGTGGCCCAAGGAATAGCTCTGATTGTCCTTCTCATTTCTCTTTAATATTTGGTCCTAGGTGTCCTCAACCAGGCTCATGACTGTGAAATCTGTAGAATAAGAGGCTTACACCACTGGCTTTGATCTCCAGCTCGAGTCCTGGACCCAAATGCCAATCCAGAACTCTCCACCTGGACACCTAAAAATAGGCTTACAAAATTCGCTTGCCAAGGCTGAGCTCCTATCTCCCCACCGTTTAACCTAAAGTGACTCCTCTTCTAATTTTGATAATTTTATTACATGGAAACATCATTTTTCTCATTCAGAAAAAAAGAAAAAAAAGCCAAAAGAACAAAAAATACAATGCAGGAAGGTCAAAACAACAACAACAACAAAAACCCTTGGGAACCACCTTCAATTCCTTTCTCTTCCTCAACTCTTACAGCTCATCAATTAGAAAATTCTGATGATTCCCATAATTTGACCATGTTATGCCACAGAGTCCAAACCACCATCGTTTCTCACCCAAATTGCTTCAAAAGCTTCCCCTTTGGATTTCTCGCATTCACCTGTG